TAATCGCACGGAAATTGAGATTTCCACACGTATGCTCCCGGATTGGCCGAAATACACTAATTCCCGATTTGTAGAACCCAGCGGTGGCGATTCACGGCTTCATCATGGGTCTCACAATTCGACAGAAGGGTGCCCGATGCTGCAGCAAATCCGCTGTCGCACACTTTCCTCTCGCGCTGTGAGCTACCCGAGCTACGTCAAGATAGTGGAAGTTGGTCCTCGCGATGGCCTACAGGTACCGATGGCTGGCGTCTCTGAGGCATTGACAGTACTTGTACAGAACGAGAAGACAGTAGTCTCCACAGAAGACAAAGTCAAGCTGATCAACTTGCTGTCCGAAGCTGGCCTTCCAGTTGTTGAAGCCACATCGTTTGTCTCGCCTAAGTGGGTCCCTCAAGTACGACTCTGATTGTGTCGCTTTGTGGTTTCATCAGCATTGTAGATGGGCGACAATGCCGAAGTCATGAAGCAAATCAATCGCAAGGAAGGAGTGTATTACCCTGTCTTGACTCCCAACCTCACGGTACGTTTAAAATACACAAGCACTGTTTTCCACCTTACAATACTTGCATGACGATTTAGGGCTTTGAAGCGGCCATCAAAGTCAACGCGCACGAAGTTGCCATTTTCGGCGCTGCCTCCGAGTCGTTTTCGCGCAAGAACATCAACTGTTCCATCCAAGAAAGCCTCGACCGGTTCCAACCCGTATGTGTAAGGGCGCAATCGCTCGGCGTTCGAGTCCGAGGGTACGTGTCGTGCGTCCTGGGGTGCCCGTACGAAGGCCCGATCAAACCTTCCACCGTCGCAAAAGTCGCCAAGACGTTGCTCGACATGGGTTGCTATGAAATTTCCCTTGGCGACACGATTGGTATCGGGACGCCAGGTAACTCGGAGTACCATATTCGATGGGAGTCTGAATTGTTCAATAGGCTCAACGCTGAAGATGCTGCAAGCGACCAAAGAAGTTGTGCCTGTGGAGCAGCTGGCGGTGCACTTCCACGACACGTATGGCCAAGCGCTGGCGAACATTCTTGTGGCCCTTCAAGTAAGTGACTTTGCAATGTGCGTTGACTCGGATGGCTGCGTGTGCAGGAAGGCGTATCGGTCGTCGACAGTGCCGTAGCTGGGCTTGGCGGGTGTCCTTATGCCAAGGGGGCGTCTGGAAACGTTGCCACTGAAGACGTCGTGTACATGTTGCATGGTCTTGGCATCAAAACGGGTGTCGATTTGGACAAACTCCTTTCTGCCGGCGATTTCATCTCGTCGGTGCTGGGGCGACCCACCAATTCCCGCGTCGCACGTGCAATGCAAAAACCGTCCAAGCTTTGAAGATGGCTTCCACTGGCAGGAGCATCGTTGCTGCTGGTGATTCTTCTGCTACTGTCAGTGGTCGTTTGTCTACATCAGTAGAATTGCTTGTCTTGGGTGGCTCCAGCCTCCTGTTCTTGCTGCAAAATATATCGGACTAAAAAAATGCGCTGTCTAAACTGCAGAAATTCGGGGGTCTTGTTTCATGAGTCATACCAAGGGCAGCTTTGAGGAGACGAGTACATTGCTGCATGTGGCTACAGTATGGTCCATGACTATGGAGATGTCTAAAGCTTCAGTTGGACTGAGGGCGACATATATCTTTGTTGCCGTAGTAGGAATTCCTGTAGGAAGGCAGGTATCCCTGGACAGGTCGCTTCTGCCTTGGATCAGTGCGTAGCTATCTCCGTCATGTTACCGCTGAGAGCAGTACGTATACGACAAAGCAAACAGGAAGACCAACAAGATGGAGTCTCCACTGATCGATGAGTCCCTACGTCGTCCATATCGGTTCTTCACGACGATATTTGAATGATTTGGACAATGTCTAGCGTTTGATTGGTCGACCGTGAATCGATGGCGCGAACGGATTGGCTAAAACAAAGCAGTCGCAATGACAATCGGAGTGAAGGAAGGGTTCGCGGTGTGCGCGGCCGGCGTCGTCCTCGCGAGACTGCTCTCGTGGACGTGGAAGGCGTCAAACGAGTGCGTGTGCGCGTGGTGCAAGCGAAAGTTGCCGAAGCGAATCATCTTGGTTCGTCATGGGCAGTCGGAAGGCAACGACAACCCCGACCTATATCGTGAAGTCCCTGACAATGCCATGCACTTGACGGCGCTGGGGCGACTTCAAGCGAGAGCAGCGGGCAAGTGCATGAAAGAAATCATTGGCAACGAATCGGTGGTACGAAGATTCAAGTTGTTCATGAAAGGGACGTCGTGACGAGCGTCGTAGCGTTGCATTGTGTCGCCATGCGTCCGTACGATTGAAACGTTTGAAGAAATCTTGACCGCGTGGGGCGAGAATGCGCATGACATTCCGTGGACCGAAGAACCACGCATTCGAGAGCAAGACTTTGGCAATTTTCAAGATCCAGACCAGATTCGGCAATGCAAGCTCCAGCGACGAAAGTTTGGCGGGTTTTTCTATCGCTTTCCAAGTGGCGAGTCTCCTGCCGGTAAAGCATTATGTGTCGATATGGCATCTTCGTGACTGTACTTCTTAGACGTGTACGATCGGATTTCGTCCTTCTTGGAGAGTCTCCATCGCATGTTTGCGCGGCATCCACAAGAAAACTATATCCTGGTCACCCATGGCGTCGCGATCCGCGTGCTTCTCATGCGGTATTTCAAACTGCCCGTCGTCTACTTTGACCAGATCGAAAATTTCCACAACGCCGAGTTCGTCGTTCTGGAGCATGTTGGGTGCGGCGGCTCGTTCAAATTGGTCAAGCAGGTTCACGCCAATGTAAACCCCGACACAGAGGAAGCCTCGCCTGTTGAGTCGCCGATGCTTCGTTTTCGCACGTGTGATGTTGCGCCGCTGTCCAAGTACGCTTCGTCGTTCGAGAAAGAAGCATTGTACACAACGTGTTCGTAGAATACAAATAGAGTCGTTTCATTGGTTAAATTTCTTGAAAAGGAAGGCATTCACCCAATCAGCATCGAGACCTCGAACAAACAAATCCAACAAGCGCGATTTAAGATGGCGCTGCCCTTGGATAAGCTCGGGGGCATGCTCATCAAGGCACTGACCAAGCCGCTTGTGGGCGAATTAAAGACCCTGTCGAAATCATATCCGTGGATGCAGCGGACATGCGAACGAGTTGGTCAGCGCGTCAATCGGTGGAGCCTCGAGGCCCTGCTCGCCGTGAAGCTAGGCTCGAATGCGTCCATCACGGTCAAGGAAATGCCTGCAGACCAAGCGTTCAAAAAGGGCGCTGAGGTGCTCGGGGAGGCCTTTATATTCCTCGTAGCTGTGGGGGTAATGACTGCTGAATACACAAGGTCGTCAGTAAAGGCAGCACAGAAGGACAAAGCTGATGTCGAAAGAAGTTTCGAAGAGTTTCTTGAAGTGGAAGCTCGGTTTCGACTGCTCGAGAAGTCGATGCGCCGTTTGGAGCGTACCCAAGCTGACCTCCACACCGCCCTGGATAATCTCCCGTGGGAATCTCTCAATCAAAAATGATACGAATTGCGTCAGTCTATTTTCATCCATGCAACGCCTCGATCGAGACGCCCTTGAAAAACGGATGGCGGAGGGCGTCCGCGGCCGAAATACGGTCCTTCGGGTCCATTGCAAGCATGCGCGTGAGCAAATCAAGCAGTTCTTGCGCATCGTCGCCGTCGATGATTTCTTCGAGCGACTTCATCTTCCGCACATGGTCGACACTCTCGCGAGTCGATGCGCCTTGGGGCCAACATAGCGACCGGTCAGCCGTGAAGTATTTTTGAGCTTGTCGGTCAGCGTTGGCCACCATCTCGACCGGAAACGACCCGATGCACTTCTCAATCAGCGCCAAGTGCTCGAGGTTTTCATGCTACAGCACGGTATATTGGCTACAATTCCAGTCGATCAAGTGGGAACCATACCGTCACAAATAAGAGCTCGCCGATGTACAATTCAGCAATGATGCAAGCGGCCGACCAGATATCCGATGGAAAGCTCCACCCCACACCGAGCATGACCTCGGGCGATCGATATTGCCGTGTGTTGATGATGCCGCTCTTCGACTCGTCGTCGTACGTGGCCCCTCCGAAGTCAATCACTGCAAGGCACACAACGTTGGACAATGTCACGCGGGAATGAAATCGTCAGGGGTGAGTCGTACGTTTGACAAAGTCCTCGGCAGGTGGGACGAGGTTGCCTTTGCGCTGGCACGCTTTCGCGCGATCGCCCGTGGATTCAGTGTCGCGGACGAGCAAAATGTTTTCAGGTTTTAGATCCGTGTGAATGAGGCTGATTTGGTGGAGGAATTTCTAGCCACATGCACAGTGATTTCTCCGAGAAGGTCACCGAGGCGTACCAACGACCTGAGCAGTTGCCACGCATACGCTCGAATCGAATCGACGGGAAATGGCTTGTAGTTATGTTTCTTGAGGTAGTCGTACAACGAGCACCCGAGCTGCTCAAACACGAGGATCACGTGGCCGTGGAACTCAAACCTTTGCACATCTGAGTTCTACTTGGCCACGAACGGAGATGCACGTACCACCGATGCATGCGCACGCACAACGAGTCGCCGTTCTCGTCTTTCTCGTTCACGTGCTTGAGGATGTTGGCCTCAATCTTTGCCGACTCCGAGTACTTTTCCACTTTGCGCACGACCTTGAGTGCGACGATGTCCTTTTTCGAGTCGGACTGGAGGTCTTTGCAGAGAAGGACGCGGCCAAACGTTCCCAGGCCAGCATCACGAAGGATCTCGTAACGATTGTCGATGACGTCGCCGGGCACGCCCTCGTAGCTCCCAATCGTGTCGTCATGGGATGCGCTGTCGTCACTCAAGTCCTTCATCTTGTCGGAGTTGCCTCCTTTGTACGATGAAGTCTCATAACTGCCATAGTCCGTACTAGCACTGCGGCCTCCTCGTCCCATTCGACGGGAATGGCGATATGTCTCACGCGAGATGGACCGTTGTCGATCACGGCGATGACTCCGCCGGTTACTGCGGCTACGACCGACACGTCGGTGGCGGTCATAAGGGTAGCTGCGATTCCCAGAGTAGCTGTAGTTTTGATTCCGGCGCTCTCGGCTTCGATCTTCGTAGCGGCTGTTCGTCCGTCCGAGATCGCGGTCGTACCGGAACCGACGATCGTCACGCGACGACGGTGCAGGTCCGTAGCGGGCCATAGCTCCACCATCACCACTACCGCGGGGTCGGCTTCGACTACGACTCCGCTTGCTACGATAATCGCCGCGGTTGGTTCGATGCATAAGACGGCCCGTTGTTCACGACCGAGAGTCTGCCTGGGTGGAGTACTTGAGGACGCTAACTGTTTTTGTCGACTGGACTTGAAGGAAAAATATATTTCTTTGAATCTTTTTCACACCTATACAAATGCCAAATCTACTTTTGCACTTATAAACAAATAGGGCAAAACAAGATATTTTTCAAATATTTTATTTTTGATTTGCCAACACCACCTCGACCAACTGCAGCATCTTGATGCTGTCTCCGTGCTCCATCGCCACCTTGCTCGTCCCCTTCTTAATTGCTTTATCTATGCAAAGTCATCGGCGCCCGCAAGCATGTGAACCTCCAACTGGGCAATGATCAAGTGGCTTATGTTTATTGCATGCAATTTGAGCTAATATGGACGGTAACGACTTTCGCCCCCACCACGGCCACCACCAAAGCGTCCGCCGCCACCACGACCTCCGCCTCCACGACCTCCGCGGCCACCGGGGCCACCCATCCAGCCGCCGGCAGGAGGCTCGGGCTTTCCAGCGAGCTCAACAGTAATGGTGCTTCCTCGTATGTCCGTGCCTGAGGCGCCACGTGAGACAGTCCTCCAAATCGCGAGTAAGTGAATTCATACCATTGAAGAAGCTGGGCGCCGTTCGCGCTGCATTCGCGTCTTCGTACGTAATCACGGCATCACCCTTCAGGGTGCCGTCGTCATTTGTGTAGATCTTAATTTTCCAAGGCTAAACATTGTCACAACTTTGTCATCACCCCATAATATGATGTGGACAATGCCGTACCCACTGGTCCTTGTACCCACGCTTTTGCTTCTCTTTCGCAATAACACCAATGCCACCAAAGATGCTCTGCAGCTCATCGGTCGTGGTATCCTTCGGCAAATTGTTAACGTAGATGCGCGCCCACGATTCATCTTTTTCGGCTTCAGCCTTTGGGTCCCAAGGCCCTGCTGGCTCTGGTGGAGGGTACGAGCCGCCGCCGTTGTCTCCATAGTGGCTGCCACTGTCACGCGAATACGAATCTCGATTTCCTCCGTAGTCTCGATCTCTGCTGTCGCGCCCACTGTCATGGCCGCCACCTCGTCCGACGCGATCATCTCGACGGTCGCCTCCACGATCATCATAGCCCCTACCATCGCGGTCGTCGCCACGTCCTCGATCGCCACCCCGGTCACGGTCGCCAGGTCGGTCCCGATCTCCACCTCGGTCGCGATCGCTCGGGCGGTCGGAAGGTCGATCACTTGGACGGTCACCAAATCGGTCACTGCCACGGCCATCTCTGTCCCGTTCGCTTGGTCGTTGATCTCGGCCACGATCAAAAGATCTGTCATCGCGAGGTCTCTCGCTGCGGTAACGGTCTCCAAAGTCTCGGTCACTTGGCCCTCTGTTGCGGTCATAGCCGCGGTCGTCACGGCGTTCTTCACTTCGGCCCATGATGGTCGAGCTTCGGTTCGAGGTGCTGTCACCACAGACAACACAAGGCGATTATTTTGGGCCAACGACAGATTCCTGTTCAAAAGGCTTGGAGTTTGTATTTTCTTAAAAAATACGTGCAAAATTGAATGAATTTTTGGAAAATGACCTCTGAAAACGAATGCGGTGAGGGCCATTCTTTTTGCTTCCCCCACCTACCACGCAAGTTTGGTATTCTTGTCTAGTAGGCACCGTCCATCCTAATGCAACCCATCCTGCTCAAGGGACACTCGCGGTCCATCACCATGATCAAGCACAACCGAGAAGGTGACCTCCTTGTCACGTGCGCAAAGGACCATGTGCCTTCCCTCTGGTACTCACACAACGGCGAGCGCATTGGCACGTTCCACGGCCACACAGGTGCAGTCTGGGCTTGCGACATCTCGTACAACTCGGAATTCTTGCTGACTGCGGCCGCCGATGCGTCCGTCAAGCTTTGGGACTTGCAAACGGGCAAGGAACTCTTCAGCTTCACACACACTGGATCGGCACGTAGTGTCAACTTCAGCCTTGGCGACAAATCGTTTGTGTCGGTTGCTGACCAGTTCGGAGATCACCCCCCCACTGTCTTCGTCTATGATTTGGCACAAAACGGAGAGAAACGTGAGGAACTCCACTATTCTTGCCGACTTGATGACACTGTTGTTGTAGAATCCAGCCAACCTCGCCTGGCCATCACGAAGCACGGCCACCAAGGTCGTGTCACTGGAGCGTACTGGACGTCGTTAAACGACGGTATTATCACCACTGGCGAAGACGGCTACGTCAAGCTGTTCAACCCGGAGGTATAGGTTAATCATTGTGTTCGGGCGTCGATCGCTCACTTCGGTGTGCGTGCAGACCGGCGCGTTGATCACGGAAGCGAAGGTTCACAACGGCGTGATCACCAACTTGGCATTTAATAAAACCAAGACTCTCGGCATTACGTCGTCGAAGGACAACACGGCTAAGTTGATTGACCTCGAAACATTCGAGGTGCTCAAGACGTACGAAACCGATCGACCGGTGAACTCGGCCAGCATTTCGCCGATCAAGGAGCATGTCGTGTTGGGCGGTGGCCAAGAAGCCATGTCTGTGACGATCACAGCTGGGCGTGCCGGCAAGTTTGAAGCGCGTTTCTTCCACCAGGTGTTCGAAGAAGAGTTTGCGCGTGTGAAGGGCCACTTCGGCCCGATCAACTCGATTACGTTTCATCCTGACGGCAAGAGCTACACCAGCGGGGCCGAAGATGGTTACGTCAGAATACATCATTTCGACCAAGACTATTTGACCCGGGAAGACTAAACGCGGAAAACAATAGCATGCACACCCACACTTCAAACTTTCGATCGGAACGGCCCCCATTTTTCATCCCCCGCTGGTAGTAGATGGCAATGACGACAAGGGAACTCAATACAAGTTGTTGCATTATGCCGTGTTGGCCTCCGCCGCTCCATGGGGCGCCCATATCTCGGTCGTTGCTTTGATACCTCTGCTTTCGGTTTTCAATTGTTTATCCAATCAAATAACAGAGAATATTACTTTTCCACCAATGAAACGCCTTATATCTGTTCCCCAGTCCAGAATCGAAATCTGGCCTTCTTATCTCGTAGCCCATCGAGACAGCTCGAGACAGCACGTACGATGACGAGCATGGCCGGAAAGAACAGTGCAGGCACGAGAAGCGTGGATTTCTTTCAATGGCAAGACAAGGATGCCGACGAGAAACTGTTTAACGGACCATTCCAAGCTGAGCAGCGTATTCAACGAGAGATCCGAGTGAATCCACGCAACGTCAAGGCTATCTATGACTTGCCAGAGGACATCGACGTGTACATTTGGCAGTACGAACACCTGCGTCAAGTTGTGAAGGAGCTGAATATTCTCGTTGCGTTGCTGGATGGGGCGTGCACGAAGCAGTCGTGTACGATCATGAAGGCCACGGACGACTGGGTGTTCCTTTGCGCAGCTCACAAACAACCAAAGGAGTGTTGCGCGTTCGACTACATTGTGCACACGTTGGACAATGCGAATCAACTCCTGACCTCATCTCGGATATTTCCTTCCCGTGTCAGCATCAACCGCGATGCGACGCAGTACTTCCAGAGCGTTGCCCGACGTCTGTATCGCATCTTTTCACACACGTTTTTCCATCATCTTGACGTGTTTCAGCACTTTGAAGCGTCCACGTTCCTCTGCCATCGCTTCGTGTACTTCTCCACTCAGTTCAACTTGATCCCGAAGAACTTGCTCATCATTCCAGACATGGGATAGCTGAGATGGCGTCAAGTAACAAAAGATTTTATATCTCAAAAAGGCATGTCGTGTGCTCGTGCTCGCATTAGAGAGGTTGTGCCTAGTCTATCTGTAAAATCCATGATGCGATGGGCTGTTTACGTCCGGCGAAGGTTGTTTAAACGAGCCTCCAGCTCACTAACGGCCGAGTCTCCCCCGCCAGCGCCAGCCGCATCCACCGGCGCAGGAGGAAGAGAAGTTGCGTGTGAAGGCGCTGGAGCCGCCACAGCAGTAGGAGCTTGCACTGATGGCGCTTCCAACAGCGCGCCAGACATGTCGATGCCAATTTCGTCCAACACTTGCGATACAATCTTGTCTTCTTCCTCTTCGTCCTGGTCGGCATCCATCACGTCGTCGATAGTGTCGCCAAGCATTTCTTGCTGCATTTCCATTTTTTCGCTTTCCTTTGTGTACTCCATCATGATCTTGTTCAGCCTTGGCAAGTTCATTGTCTTCGCCATCGACTTCATGACCTTGGTCGTGCCTTGCAACGCTGACGTCATCGCTTCTGCAGACTTGGCGGTTTCCATTCGCAACGACACTGCTTGTAGTTGAGATCGCATCGTATAAAACTTGGTGATGTGCTGCCTTGTCCGTACCAAATCCTTGGCCATGATCTTGACGGACGCAATCTGGTTTTCCTTGGCCATCTTCTTGATTTCAAGGATCAATTTCTTCTCTGACATTTGCAAGTTGGTGCGCTCGCGGTCAAGGTCACGGATAGCCCGGTTGATCTCGCGCTTGTTCTCGCGGAGTTGCTCCTTAAGCGTCGCCGGCTTGTTCCCCATCGTGTTTCGCGCAGGTTGCAAAATTCGTACTGATCAATCACTCAACGGAAATATTATTTTCCCTCGTGCAAACGTATACAGAAAATAGGCTTGAGCATCCAAATTTTAATAACGGACACGGTGTCAAACATCCGTCGCAAGGGACAGAATGTTGCTCTTTTCAGTGCAAAGAAGGTATAAACTAGTACAAGTTATTGCATAAGTCATTTTATGTAATTATAAAGACTATGAATTTTCGAAAGTATTTGTTTGTGGTTAGGTTTCAGAGCAGTCACTTCAACGCTAAATAGTGTACGCTGGAATTGTGCGTGTTTTTATTTGATTGGTTTAAATCCTCCAGATCTCACCTCAGGCTATACAAATTGCAAGGTAAAACTGAAAGTCGGTGTATTGCATTTTTTTGAGGCGAGTCTTATTATTTTTGGCCCACCGCCCACCCTCAAAGAAACACGAAACGAGGAAGGATCATGCGCTGCCGTGGGCTTCTTACCTTTGTCGCTCTGTCTGTGGTGTCGGCTGTGAGCACGGCATCGACCTACGTCCCCTTGGTGCTGTGGTCGAACACTGGGTACTCTTTCCCTTGCATGGGTACATCGGGCTCATCTGTCTTGGATTGCAGATCATTGGAACACCCTGTGAATGACATCGCCGGAAAGAACGCCAATGCCGACTACTCGGTGACCCAAGTGTCGAAGACCCTGTCATTTCTTCAAGACAACGATGTTGACCTCCAGGATTCTCTGGTACCCTATTTCACTGAGCTCCTTGGAACAAGCTCTGAATGTTACTGCTAGAACGCGCATAGCCCATACGAAGTGTTCTATCCGCGCGCGAAGGCGCTGGTGTTGTTCGTCCGCGATACCCTTCGTCTCGATGAAATGGAACATTTTCAAGGCACTGCTTTGGAAACAATCTACCGAAATGCCTCTTCTGCTGTCTCGTATCCCCACACGACCCGCTCGTCGGCGGCGGACACTTTGACCGCGACTCTTGCCCCTCATCACTCGATTAGCCTTGAAAACATCAAGGTACTTCACATGTATACTTGGTGATGTTGTGTCTCAATCGTCCCGCAGGAATTCTTCCAGCAAAAGCAAATTCTCGGCACGTCTGGCAAGACCGACTTGGTCTTGGTGCTTGTGAGCAACTCCCTTCCGTGGAAAGAAGTAGCGCAGATGATTCGCACGTCTGTCGCGTTGTTCGACCATGCCACTTCAAACCGCGTGATCTATGGTTTCACTGGTGACCACACAACGATCACGCCGTCTCAATTCGGGGGTTTCCACCGTGCTTTGCAGAGTGCCGCGGCCGTCGTGGCCCCGCTCGTGTGCCCTCCCGGCTCGTTTCTCAGCACTGCGCTCGACAAGCCGTTCTGCTTTACTCACTACGTGTACATGACCCCAATGATTCTTGCGGCTCTCGTCCTCGGCTTCTTCTTCCTCTTTTGCGTGTTCGTCGGACTGTCTGCCCTGAACGGCATCCAAACCCCGTTGAAGTACCCGTCGATTGCCCCGCCCAAGGGAAAAGAGTACTAGTGGGGATGAACTCGTTCATGCTTTGTTTTAATTGAGACTTCACCACCAGCTCTTGAATACATCTCAATTTGCATCACCTTGTGATTTGTACTCGACCCGAATGACTAGCGAACACCCTTCACACGGCACAGTGTCCACGAAGTCCTCGACTTCATCCACGGTAAGCTACGATCACAAGCAAGAAAACCCCATAATGTTGTTGAAGCAACTGGGACAGACCCACCACGTAATGCTCGCCACATCGACAAACGAGTGTGTAGAGGGCGTCGTCTGCGTCGAACGAAAAAGCATCCAAGGACACTTCGTCCGAGATGCGCAATTGCGAGCGAAGTGTTGCTTCTACTCATACGCAAGGCATAGAACTCTTCGATACATACGTGTCGGCACACACAGCACCTGCAAGGGATTGGTCATATCGCTTCCTCGACTCAACGTCACGCAACACTTGGTATGCGTTGTGTGCACTCTGAAACTCCAACGTGTCTGCAGCGCATCCAGTCGATGAAGCCTTGTCTGGGTGGTTCTTCAGGGCAGCTGTATGGTACGCCCGCTTGATTTGCTCTTGAGAGCACGACGGCGACACACCAAGGACATCGTAATGGGATGGCGCGGAGGCCGTCGTCGACATCGACACAATAAATTCGTGTATCCGGATAACGCCAGTGAAATTTCCATAAAACGTGGTGTGCAACAACGTTAAACCGATGGAATTTTATTGCATTGAAAATGTGACGTATTTAAAATGCTGTCGCAGGGTAGAAAAAGCGTTCAATTGGTTTTAATGGTCCAATTCGATCACACGAAGAAAGATTTCGTCAGACATTAGATTGAGCAACTTCCCCCAAGCGCATCACGTCGGATGTCTGGGTCGGCCGCATTAGACGCGCTCGAGCGCGAGTACGAAGCAGTGGTGCGCCAGAAACCCATTTCCTCCGTCAATTTGGATTTTATTCCTGCTCGACCAAAACCTTCGACGGATGGCAATGATGTCGACGATGCTGTGATGGAGTTTGACGACTTGCAATCGATTTGCTCCTATGCCGCCACGTGTGACGATGACCTTGAGCGCGAGCGAGAGAATTCTGACGACGAAGACGAGCAAGATTATGAGTACGAACCCTTGCGAGAAGAAGAGTGGGAAGACACCGATGGTGTTGAGGAAAAGTCATCCAGTGCCAACGTGACATTATCGCCTCCTGTCAACCCTGTAAACTTTAGCGAAAACGACAAAGAAGCGATCAAGAAGGCGATGCAGCAGATTTCGTTGCCTCCTCCATCGTGGGGTGGTCAATTGACGGACACTCAACTGGTTGACCTCGTCAAGGAGGCCGTTCATCTGAATGACGCCGTGATGGAACCATAAGAAGTATATGCGACATTTCCACCTTATCCTGTGCTTTCCTCGATGCAAATGCTTCGCGGAGGTGGGGGTCCTAGTGTGATCTTGTATCGTTGGGTCGTGGGGGGGCACGCCAGGAGATACACCACAGCCACTGCTCCCATCAGCACGGCCGACGCAGAGGCAAAGACTAGTCCAGGCATGCCACCGCAAGTTGCATAGCCATCGAGTACGCCATGGTATCCCCTCGGGCATGGATGTGGATGTTTGGATTGCATGTCGTTTGCAATCGACAAACGAACGACATGCTTGGCCAAACGCTCGCCAGCAATCTACAACTGCATGAGGTGCAAGATGGGATGGTGAACGGATGCACCATTGAAGCACTCGTCAAGAACGCTAGTTGCCCATGAAGGCAGCCACAATCATGGCGACCGACAGCCTGGTGTGCGATCGACCTCAACGCTGGATACGACGTAAAATGGAGCCCTCCCACGACAAAGAGAGGGTACAGCTGCCATCCCTGTGGACAACCCATTGGTTATGCATCCACCTGCATGGGCTACATACAGCAGTCATGAATGCAGTGGCGGTCAGAGCAATGGCTTGAGCGACTAGACCGCTGAGTACGAGACGGCGATTCGTCCAGTGGCGCTGCCACAGCGCTCTAAGAACGACGGTCTGGGACATGGTGATTAGACGAGCCATGAAAGTGCTTGGTACCGAGCAAAAGACCATCGTGAACCCTTCATAGCTGAAAAAGACAAGCTGCGACTGGAGTTGCCTGCCATCGTCGTGAGAGATGGAGAAAGTGTTGGACCAGCAGCATACCATCCAAAGCGATAGTTCATGTAAAAGTACCTATGTGAACAAGGGTAAACTCTAAAAACCCGTCATGGGAAAATTTAAATCGCACAGGACGATGTGAACCGCGCCGCACATGTGCATGCAGCATGTGACAACCATCAGTGAAAGCAGTGCTGGCTGATGACGCCAGATGGTCCACGAGTCTTGCCAGACCGTTGTGAACGACGCGGTCGGCTTGCGATCAAAGTCATCGAGGGTCTCATGCACACAGCGGCGAGTGATGAAAAGGCCAACGAGGTTGAGGATTGATGCAGCTACAAATGGCATGCTGGAGTGCCATGCAAACATAAATCGACCAACGACCAATCCAGTCGTGACACCAACTCCAAACGCTGCATCCAAGAGTCCAAAGCAAGGCGTCAGTTGAGCTTTGGGACTACAATCGCCTGCCATGGAATACCCTGTGTATCTGTGGCATGAGCACAAGGCAAAATAAAGTCGCGCGTGCTTACCGATGGCAAACATCGAGTTCAAGGTTGCGAAGAGGAGAATGCACCCTTGAAACGCATACTTGGATGGGATGCACGTCAGCGCCAGCATCACGGATGTATGCACAATGCAAGACGCAAGGAACAGTCGTTTGCGACCATACACATCGGACAGAGCTCCACACAGCGGCGTCACGACCAATTGAGCCACCAAGATGGCTGTTATTCCTCGCACGACAAAAGTGGCATGGTTGGTCGACGAGTCGCGGTGGATATCGTCAAATAAATCTGGCGCTGCAAAAACCAACATGCACGTGCCGCAGGACACCAGCGACAGCACCACCAAGTGCGCATAGGACGAAGGTTCGAGTCTCTGCAGCATCGTTTTCGTTTTGGAAGAAGATACGTGTGCCTTTTGATGAACGAATGGCCGATCGTGAAAATCAATCTTTTTAGCCAATCAAAGCACACCGTTGCCTCCAAAGTTGAACCCCTCGGGGGGGGGGACGCCCGCAACGCAGCCAATCAAGGCGTGAGATGGCCGCCGGCTGGAAGCAATCGCATTGCTTACAGCGCAGCCATTTCGCAAGCCACCGACCGCCATGCGCTCCGTCACGTGCAGCACGCCCACGAACATTGCCGTGATCAAGTACTGGGGCAAGGACAACGTCGCGCTCAACACTCCCTTGAACTCGTCGGTCAGTGTCACGTTGAACCAAGACCAGCTCAAGACGGTCACGTCCGTGTTGGCGTCGAAGGATTTTCCCGTCGACCGCATCTGGCTCAACGGTGCCGAACAAAACATCCAAAACAAGCGCATTCAAACCGTGCTCAAGGAAGTTCGTCGTCTTGCAACTTCCAAAGCCGTCGACGTGAATGGCCATGCGATTGCCAAGGATGCATGGGACCAGTACAAGCTCCACATTGTGTCGATCAACACGTTTCCCACCGCCGCCGGGCTCGCGTCGTCTGCTGCGGGGTACGCTTGCCTTGGTACGTCCGAATTTTTTTGCTAGCGGTTGCATATCTGTTGTCCAATGGTTTCGTCGATACCTATGTACAACATAGTGGCGGCGCTGGTGGAACTGTACGCTGCTGAAGAAGAATACGAAGGCCAGTTTTCGGCCATCGCCCGACAGGGCTCCGGAAGTGCCTGCCGCAGCCTCCACGGTGGGTTTGTCCGCTGGGACAAGGGCGTCAAATCGGACGGAAGCGACAGCTTGGCGATTCAAATCGCAGACGACAAGCACTGGCCCGAGCTAGAGGCCATCATTTGCGTCGTGAACGACAAAGAAAAGGACACGAGCAGCACGGACGGCATGAACACGAGCAAGGAAACATCGGAATTGCTTGGATTCCGCGCCCGTGAAGGTACGAGGCGCTTGGTGACGATAGTACGATAGATTACACGATGGTCTAGTCGTGAACAAGCGATTGGCGGCGATCGAAGCGGCGTACAAGGCCAAAGACTTTGAGACGTTTGGGAAAATCACGATGATGGACAGCAACCAGTTCCACGCGACGTGCTTGGACACGTTTCCTCCGATCTTTTACATGAACGAAGTGTCTCGCAGCATCATCCACCTCGTGCACCAGTACAACGACCACGCGGGCAAGATCCAAGCCGCGTACACGTTTGACGCGGGCCCGAATGCTGTTATTTTCTTGGAAAAGAAACACACGAAGGAAGTGCTGGCGTTGCTGACGCATTTCTTCGACTCCAAGGCCCAGTATGTTTGATATTCAGTGTGGCTGAGTGATGTGACGGTGGTATCTACATAGTCCGTTGGAAGTGCGCGGCACGGTGGATCCAAGCAACTTGCCCGACGTCGACCCGGTCTTGTTGGGGTCGATCAAAGTGCAGCCGAACCCGGGTGCCCTCAAGATGTTGTACCATACTTCGGTACGTCATCAAGGCTTTCAAGTCGAAATGGTATCGACGAAATGCAGTATTTTCATGGATCGCGATCCACTCGTAGGTTGGAGATGGTCGCCGTGTTTTGACTGCCGCCGACTCGCTCATTGACCTAACGACAGGGCTCCCCAAGCAACACTAGATGAGGCCGATAAGTCATTCTACAACAAGGTTTTCACTCAACATAAACACCGATGCAGTCGACTATATGTGGAGTGGATTGGGATTGAATGCTATCCTACGGCCATGGGAAAACTGGCAGTGGACGCTACACGAGGGTCTTGCCAAGCGACTACAAGTCCAACAAGAGGCGTTCGGGGTCGGCGATTTTGTCAGCAATCGACTTGAGGCACGTCACGGCCTCCCGACCGTCGACCAAGCGATGGTCGTACGTCAATGCGAGGTACATCATGGGCCGTGCTACGATTTCGCCGTTGGCGAGCACGACCGGGCGCATCTTGGTCGCATGCATGCCGAGGATCCCAGCTTGCGGAACGTTGATGATTGGTGTACCCATAAGCGACCCAAAGACGCCGCCGTTCGAAATGGTAAAGTTGCCACCCGCCATGTCTTCCATCGTAATTTCACCGGCGCGCGCCTTTTCAGCCAACCGCGCCAATGTCTTCTCAATGTCAGCAAAGCTCATCGACTCGGTGTTTTTTATCACGGGGGTGACGAGGCCCTTGGGCGTCGCCACGGCCACGCTGATATCGACAAAGTCACGGTAGATGATCTCGGCGTGCTTGTCATCGATCGACGCATTCACGCCGGGGGTTTCCAAGAGCGCCGCAGCCGAAGCCTTGATGAAGGCACTCATAAAGCCAAGCTTTACGTTGTGCTTCTTTTCGAATGAATCCTTGTACGTTGAACGGAGCGCCATGAGCTTAGACATGTCCACTTCCTGGAACGTGGTGAGGCTCGCACTCGTATTTTGCGATTCCTTCAATCGCTCAGCAATGCGGAGGCGCATACGACTCATCTTTTCACGGGTCGTGCCACGAGGCAGGCCTCCCAACACGGGAGACACAATGTTCGTCGACACAGAAGGAGCAGCCTTGGTTGGTTCTGGTTGGTTCTTGGTGGGAGCAGCAGCAACCGGTGCAGGGGCAACTGGAGCAGATGTAGCAGCAGGAGGAGCGGCAGCCTTGGCGCCACCACTGGCACCAGGAACCAACGTGAACAAGGGAGCACCGATGGTCACAACATCTTCGACATTGACCAATGTCTGTTGGATAACACCGGCTTGAGGCGCACGGACGTCAACACTGACTTTGTCGGTTTCAATGACCAAGACGACGTGGTCCGCTTCCACGAAGTCACCAGGTCCCTTTGTCCAGCTCACAACAGTACCCTCAGAGATGGAATCGCCCATGGACGGCACGTTCACGGTGACAGGAGCACCAGTGGCAGTAGTTTCAGCAGGGGTGGCAGCGACTGGCACAGGTGTTGAGGCAGCAGGAGGAACCGTGGACGTAGCAGGGCTCGAAGAAGCGCCAGATGGTGATGCACCTTGGTCTATTTGAAACAATGGTGCGCCGACGTTCACACTAGCTTCAACTTCGGCCAAATGGGCAGTCACGACACCAGCGAAGGGCGATCGGACATCGACACTGACTTTGTCCGTTTCAATCACGACAACAACATCGTCAGCATCGACGTGGTCGCCAACGTTCTTGACCCACTCGACAACTGTGCCTTCCGAGATCGAATCTCCCATTGACGGGACAGGGACGTCCACCGAGGCAAACGAGCGGACTTGGGAAATGCAGAACTTGGCGCGGTTGTTCAAACGAATGTACGACGCGACCGTCGTCGACGTCGCATGGAACGTACGGACAGCAGTGGCCACTGCGGCTTGGCGGTGGCGCACAGCAAGAGGCAACTTAATGCGGCGGACAGTGCGCAGCATGGTGACGGAAGGCGAGTGATGCGTGGTGGCTTTGAGGGGCCAGTGGAAACTTCGAACTACGAATATACAACGGACCGATTGGTGGTGCGAATGAATTCGATCTTCGGTTAAGCACCCACCGGAAGAGTTCGTTCGTATTATCCGCTCAAAATACCTGAATCCGGTGGGTCTGATGTACTTCTTATCCGGAGGTTGAGTTGGTTGGAGTTTTCGTCCAAGGGAATACTTCGAAGTATGAAATGGCGAAAGTTTTTGTTGAAGTTTTCTATTCCCCAAGACGATGGGTTGATGATACAAGGGATGAGGGACTGCTAGGACAGCCTTGCTGTAGGGATTACGCCGCAGCATGGTGGTCGCCGAAGTTCAGCATTTCGGCGATGGATGGTGTGGGAAGCACATGAACCCGCGGCGTGATGCACGTTAACATAACGCGACAGCGACAGTGGGTATCGCCAACTACCGACGAATCGGTACGCTGAAAATGCGTTGCATCGACCCTGGATGTTAACTCGAGAGTGGCCATGGACACGACGCCTGCTGCTTTCAAGTACTTGAATGCCTCTGTACTCCATGCCATAAAGACAAGTTTGTGATGTGTTCTATCCTGAAGGACCAGTACAACCCACAGATGGATATAAAATGTTCCACGTGTGGAATTCACTCTACTTGCCGACCTTGCGATGTGATGCGGCACAAGACAATTCCCCATGCCGCGATACGTTATGCTTGGAGGTAATTCATATGCATCTTGACGCCACTGCTTCCATTTTGGACGGATCTTGACGAAGAGGTTGGTGGAGAGGCGTATGAAGCAACGGGTGGAATGATGCGCGACTTTGACAGCACTGCCTCGACGTCCGCTGGATTTCGAAGCAGTGTCATGAGCCCATTCGTAAAATCGGCACGGCCAGTGAGGAGGGACAGCTTGTCGTGTTCGTCGAAAGACCAGTGCATCGTGGCAATGACGACGAGATTTTGGCCGATCTGCACCACTTATTAACAGAGCTCGCTCGACCCATACAAAACATTTGTACCAAGGATGGCTTGAGGACTTCGGGGCAGTTAGGGAAAAAAAGGCCAATGGACTGCCGACTCATTTTGAGAGTCGACTTTGTCACACCCTTGACGATTGCACCGTCGTCTGTCTTCATCACATCGCACGACAGCGCCTCCATGTTCACCTAGCATCACCCACGTAAATGCAAGACTCCTCCATGGGACGAACCCACCGAGGCAAACGAATTCGTGTAGCGCTCCCAATTCGACAAAATGCTCTGTATGCCAATCGAGCCATTGTAATTGATGCTTTCGTGTGCAATGGACCGGAGAAACTTCTCTTGCCGCTCACTCATGCGCCGCTTCGACGGAATATATCCCTACGATGGGCAATCAAACGGCGCGGCCATCGCTAGGAGATTGACGTACGGTTTTGAAGACCGATATGTATTTCCGCACAAGTTTGGTGGGAACGCCACCGTCAAAGTCCGGCTGGTGGACGAGAATTGTCGACAGCGGGACGCACCGCACAAGCATGGCCTTTTGCGCTTCCAACCTTTGAACTTCTTCTTCCAGCGACTGCACGGTGCTTTCGATACCTTCTTGTTCTTTCTTCTTGCGCTCGCGGAACGACTTTTGGCTCACGCGGCACTGTTCACGTCGTCGTTCAGTTGCTTTTGATGCTGAATTGTGGCGCTTGGCATGGACCAGTGTCTGCGCCAAGTCTTCTGACGTCGCGACAGTATCGATGAGTTCTTCGAAATCCTTGGGCATGGATCGGGACTCCATCTATATCGTGCAGCTCCTTTCCAGTTCGGGTGCGTGTGTGCAGCTTGTGTGCTTGTGCGATGGAGCGACCGGAATGTCACCAGCGTGGTTTGGAGCACTCTCAAAATCGACTCTCACAAAGTATCGAATTCCAGAAGGATGGGATGACGGCCCACACTGAACCAATAACGTCACGTGTCGTGGGCCGCGAAACTCGGGCGACCGCGGGACATCTTGTCCTTTGGAGGTGCCTGCACGTGACGAGGATTGGGGGCGTCAGGCGTCTTGCGCATCCAACGAGGGCATGTCTTTCCTCATGCCCCTGGTGAATGTCGAACCAGCGAACCTCTTGGAGTTGAAAAGTTGTTCGACGTGAGGTGCTGGGGGAGACCCGCGCAGTGTGAATCAACGTTCCACGAAGACACAACCAGCCACGATAAGGAGCACTCGAATTGCGGTACATACCCAACGCACTCGAGTACGAGAACCTGTCCGCGACGCAGGCAACCGTTCATTAAAAAGGTATCGACACATTGATCTCTTATTGCAACATGAAGTCGACGCCGCCTCTCACGCCACGATCTCGAGTCACGACCAGCCCGTTGGGTGTAATGTACTGGCCAGGGTTCTCTTGCGATCCTTCCACGACAAACAAAGCGTCTTCCGCACACTCGAGTGCCCGCACGAGCCCATCCACCATTTGGACGTTTGCGTCCATAACGGCAACCTGCGCATGGTCGAAGGAGAACGACAAGCACAATGAAAATGCGATCTCGCGGTCGACGAGGCGCTGGACAATGTCTTCCCGCCCAAGAACGTGTGGGAACAGTGTCGCCAAGGTTTGCCGAGTGAAAACGAGGACGAGGGTGCTGTGTGAAATCACAACGTCGTTCTCGTTCCCATGAGCCCGCACATCCCCCGAATGCATGAATAGATATGGAAACGAAGTCTTGTACGACTTCCATTGTCGAATGAGAGCATCGAGTCCAATTTCGCCGTTGAACTGAAGCGTATCGCACATGACGCCTCGAACAAGCTCCATTTGAGTCGTAAATCGATCTTCATGGGGCTGGACGAGACCTCGTTGAAACATGCGAAGGTAGCTTGAGATCGAGCAGCAACGATGCTGGCCTGCTTGAACAAACTGTTCGATCACGGCAGATCGGAGCATGCTTGCCTGAACTTCCATCATGCTCGTGGCATCGGCAAGGCGGCGCACGTACTCTTCCACTTGCAAAACCCGACTTCTCTTTCGTTCGCGGTATCTCCGTTGATTGATCATGCAGTCGCGCCGCCGCTTCCCCACCTTATCCTCCATCGTCTTCGGCCTCGGTGGAGCTGGGCCGAGCGTCTGGTGGTCCATGGTCTCGCTCGCTCGTTGGCGATAACGTGCGTTGGGCGATATATATCCATAATAATTCGCTAGAATATTCCTCCTCTCCCGCATATACTGAAGAGGGAAATTTTTTTTCCTCGTTTTGATTTCGCTGTTCCTGGTAATCAATGTTGGGTGTTCGTCGTCACAGAAAAACGCCATGATCACTCGCTCCCGCAGGCGGTGCAATCTTTCTGAACCTTCCAACGGGTGCTTTGTGGGAACGAGGGCGCTCTGGATATGTGCGCGCTCAAGGCTTTACATCTGTCGGAGGCGATTTGCCCAAGCTTGAACGCTTTTGAATCCACAATTGGATGTGTCAAAGAACAATAACTCCAGAATTTATGAGCTGAGACAAAATCGTTTCAACCCAGCCAGACACTCTCAGGTCACGCTCCATTTTCAATTCGAACCGCTAGTTAATAAACACACAGACTCTCATCAACTCTCATGAAACGAACTCCATTAGAACCCCAAGTCTCGAAGGATGTTGGAAACAGGCCCTGCATTGCCTTCCTGCGATGCCACGGAAGCCAGCAGGTTGGACACAAGGTTGAAGTCTACATCGACGGGCTGGATGGTGCCGTCATCGCTGCCGTCCACGATAGGGTGTCCTCGTCTCGGTGGAGGGACGAAACTCTTGGCCATCTTGGACTGCTGCAGTTCGGTGTCCATTTCGTCCATCATAGCATCCATTTCAGCGTCGATCGCAACATCGTCGTCTTCGTCTTCGCTATCGAAAAAGTAGTCGTCGAAATCCCTGGCTGGAGATGCCCTGTCGTCCACGTTGGCATCATCCCCAAGGTTGCCAGACTTTAGAATCTCCATCAACGTGTCCATGTTGAAACTCACGTCGGCTTGAGTTGCAGATTCCGTCGGAGCAACGCCTTCATAGTCTGACATGTCATGCACGAACTTGTCAAAGAGAGACGCCATATTTTGCAGCTCGTCGCCACCTCCTCCCTCGTTTGCGTCGTCCTCGGGGGACAGCTCCTTGAGTTTTGAATCTGCTTCATCCAGCATGGCTTCCAAACCTTCCGGAGTCACATACAACCATGAGTCGTCGTCCGAAGGTCGCAGCGGCGACGGCTCAAACTTCCGGGATGGATCGCCGATGGCTGCGCCAATTCTGTCCCGCCACATGACACCGCGCCAATCTTGGACGTGACTGTTGCAAAGCAGTTCCAAACCGCAAGTAAGCTTCATGCCGAGCTCGGCGGCAGCCGCCTTCGATGCGTCGGCTTGCGGCGAAGGCATTACATGGTGGAAAGGCTTGGGCGGTGCGAATTGCTGCTGCTTAACTTGCGCGTACATGCATCGTGTGAGCGGGACCATCGTTGTGACCATCTCCTTGGGCGTAGATGGTACTGGGAACCAATGCATTTTCCGGCACACAACAGTCGCTTCGGTGGGCTCGCGGTAGTAAAACGCCTCGACAGCATACGCGACGCTGTGAGGTAGTGCTTGAAAGACGAGAGCAACGTTCGGGGGCAAGGTGCATTGGACCACATGACAATTGATCTCGCGTTGCATCGAGTACGACTGCGCATGGTGCAAGCGATCAAGCACGATGGAGTCCATGACTTTGTTAGCTCGTGTCGACGGCATTGTTGGAGACGTGACAAAGGAGAGCGCTGTGCGCAACTCCATGTGTCGTTCGGTGGGATTTTGTTGGACAATATGCAGATGGCCGCGTCTTAAAAAGACCCTGTTGGCGCTGTTGTCTGGGTTGAGCCAAGATGGCAGGGCCTCGGCAGCTTCAATGAGCAGGAACTCCCCATCAGCATCCCTCACTTGCACCGTGATGTTGGAATGTTTCTTCGTAAGCATGTTCAGGGCTGCAGTGGCCACCCACTCGTCTTCGACGTTGTCTCCCACGTACATCTTGCCGCGCAACGCGAGTGGCATGTCTTCGGCGACTTCCAGAGTGAGGGGCTCCTTTTGCCATATGTAACCCTTCAGCAGCATGTCCAGCTCACTCTGCATAGAGGCACAATACGCGCTTGCTTCTAGATCGGATGACTCGTCCAAGTGGATGAAGCACTCCAAGAAGTCCTGGCCCACCTCCGCCGTGGGGAACATCGTCGATATCGTTGCAAAAAGGTCAACTTCCCTGCTCTTGATTGGTCCATTTGGAATCGAACGTGATTGGCTCACACTGAGGATCCATTTTCGCTACACGCGAGCCAAAGCACGGCGACAGGCAAAATTGGTGCGACTCCCATTGCCCTCGGCACCAGAGACGTGATGCTGTGCGCAGCTTCGCGATGATCTATGCATGAGCACTATGCTCGCTTAAATCTGTATCGCTTCGGATGTTGTGGAAACTTGTTTGAGCAGGTTGCAACCGGATGGGCCGACGACAATCGCCTCCTCCTCACTCCTTCACACCATTCCTAACGCGACAATCAAGCCGTCGTAAGCCCAAGCTCGACTCGTAAGCAGTCGCTTGTTCCCACTACTTTCACTCTATATTGAAAAGAATTGGTGCGAGCGAACAAAAAGGTTCACGAATAGAGCACATTGCGCTTCATCCATCGAATGGAGCGTTTCTGCCACCTCTACTGGAATACCAAGGCGCTTCATAACCACCTTCAGCGTCATCCTCTCTGGGACATTCCCGAAAGTAGACCTTCATCACATGGATCCTTGAACGGTGGCGGGCACATCAAGGCCGCATTTCATCAGTGGATTGGACAAGTGCGTCGAGGGTCCGTGCCAACAGGTCCATAGGGGATGACGACGACGCATTCTTGATCCAGATCAGGTAGCTTTCTTTGATAGAGTCTGTGCGGGGATGCCTCATCTTGATCAGAGCCTTCATACACCCATGGACTTGCTGTTCAATCAAGGGGAACATTCCTCGGAGAAGCATCAAAACTCGTTGGCGAACGTCTTCAGTGGCATTTCCCATGGGAAGGTTGTACAGAGTGGAGCATTGCAAAAGACATATCAAGGCACGCCACGCCGCTGACTCCGGCGGTGGCCCATCACGGAAATGCGCCTCGATCTTGACGCCAGTGGACAGGAGGAACTTGACCATGTCCAACCGAAGCAACATGTGGTGCATGCACGAATCAAATGTAAGTGGCATGGCGGCAAGGGCTGCTTCATAATGCTCCTCGCACGTCCTCATCAGATCAACATCCACCGACGCATTGTACGAATTCTGCAATCCCAAGTGCGAAGAGTACAGGCTCGACAATAAGTAGTGTGAGTCTGCAACTCGCCACTTCGTTTTGGCTGATGCGGGAGTGAGTGCCAACGCGTCTTGGCTGTACGAGAGGCACTTCTTCAACTCGACACGCACTGCACTTTGAGCAGCGGTCCAAGCACTGGCATCATCCACACTGTACAACGACTCGCGCGATAAATGTTCCTGCAAATACAAGGCGTGTTGCGCATGCGCCAGCCGGAGAAGTAGGAGGATGTGCACTTGCAGCGCTTGTCTCCACACGTTGTCCATGTCGGTGCGGGAAGTCTTCAAGTCCAACAAGGCTTTCGTGAAGGCACCGATGGCTTTGTGGTATCCAATTGAGTGATGGGCGTGCCGCAACGCAATCTCCCCAAGTAATACTCGCATCTCGATAGCCGCCGCATCATCGCCAATTGAAGCGAACAATACGAGTCCTTGCTCGGCGTGGCGGGCGCCTTTCGTATGCCTGCCAGAGACGACAAAATGGCGAGTCTGAGACACGTATGCGTCGCGAAGGGTTGCCCGAAATGAGTTGTTGAGACGATCTCTTCCGACACTCAGGAGTGACAGCATATGATTGGCAGCCGTAGACGTGCCAACATGCATAGCGCTCGCAACAGCAATGTTCAAATGCTGTTCCTTGTCCACCAACGTCCAAGTGGCCGCAAAAGCTGCTGACATTTGCACCCACGCTGGCACTTGTACTTTTGTCGAAGTTCTCGGTTTCAGGCGGGTTCGCTCAGTTGTAGCAAATTGATCTCGATAGATGCCCATTTGTTGCACCGATGTAAGTCGGAGGTGCAGTTTGGCCACGAGAAGGTTTACTTGGGGATACTGGTACGATGGCAGCAATTTTAGTAGCTTGTGGGCGTAGCTGAATGCTGTTCCGAGTTTGCCTTCGTGAGTGGCAAAATGGGACAGCACGTAGTAGCACGCCAGCAAGCCATCGAGTAAATTCGAATCTGTCGGTGTGTCTTCGCGTACCCAATTGAGCCCTTGTGCAAAGATGGCGAGGGCCTGCTCAAAATCCTCTTTCTCTTGAGCTTCGTCGTCTAATAGTGGCGGCGGAGTATCATCCACGCTCGATCCATCGATCCATTTTGCATGCTTCGATTCCGGCTTAGTTGGTATGTAGCGTTGGGCAATTTCAAACAACGACGCAATTTTCGGCTTGCCGTCTTGCTTCGAGAAAGTCTCGCATGCGTCCAATGCTGTTGACAGCTCATCCAACATAGCGTTGGTCCGCAAACCTGAGTCAGCATCGCTGTCAAGAAGGCGCAATGCGAGCAGGCCGGACTTAAGGTGCTTTCGAATGAAGGTTGTGCCAAGAGCCAAGCACGCTTGAGCTGCCACATCTGGAAATGCCTTGGAGTCAACCATCTGAATACACTTGGAATATAGCCGCTGGGCGCGTCTGACGTCTTGGTTGTTTGCACCAACAATCGAATTGGCCAACTGAAAACACAGCATGCCAACTGTATGGTCCGCAGTAGTGTACATATTCGTGGGCAATTGAAACAGGTGCACCTTGGAGCTGATCGCAGACTTGGTCAGCCAATAAGTCTGTGCTTCATCGACGCAGTGCTCTTGCAAAAATGACAAAATAGTCTGGGCATTGTCAAACACCGCATGGGCATCAAACAGTTCTGGTTCTTGCACAAACGGCAAGTCTTCGGTGCGCACCATTTGATACCCCTGCACGTGGCCGTCTTGATGATAGCAAAATGCAGTTTGGTCGAGGTTGTTCATCACGTTGTCGAGCCATGTGTCCAAACATGCAAGCGAGTTCAATTTGGATCGATCAGCAGAGTTTAACGTGACTGACGTCGAAGCGTCGGTACCAACTTCATCCATAATTGATTCTTCGCCCTCCTTGTGCTTGAAAATGACAGTGTTGCTGCCCAGTAACATTTCCATGGTGTTGAATTGCCACCGCACCAGCTGCTGGTACGACGATGGGTGTAGGAGGGATGGCGGCACGTGCTCAGTCATGGTCAATTCCAGTGGAAATGATACCCGAGAGAGAGAATCATGAAGAAATCGGTGGTGAAGTCCATGCTGGACACTTTCTTGGACACTCTCTTCATCGTGTGGGACTAGATCGTCATCGCCAACTAAGAATATCTCTCCAGTTTCTGGGTCCGTGGCGATCTGATGAACCACGCCCTCATCAAAATCCTCGTCGTTGACAATCCAGTCTTTGAAAAAGAAGGGGTTACGAGCTTGCACCGAAGTGGGGCTGGTTAGAGGAGCAAGAGTATTCGAGACAGTCTTGGATACCGATTTCTTGTATCGACGGGAAATTCGTTGAGATTCGGACAATGCATGCGTCCCCAAAACAAGCCGTTGACCGACACGATGCACCGCAATGGGCGGGGGGCTGGCATTGTATGCCATAGAAAACACTTGCTTCATTGAGTCAACGGACGCGACAATGTCCACATTTGGTTGACAATACTCATGCAATGCGACACCATCACATGGTGTGTTTGGTGTGATAGCCGAATTGGCCGCAGGGATGACTTCACGAACATGCGTTCGAGACGCAACTCGGCCTTGTGCAGTAAACACATCACCTCCGACAAGACAGGGTTGGTTCGTCCGTGTGTTCTTCCTTTCGGGCACGAGGTTAACAGAACGAAGTTCCAAGGGTCGTGACATCGGTAGATCTAGACTTGCAAACGGGGGAACGCGCCTTGCAGTCGCCCGTTCTAACTCATGAGGGTGACGTGTCGGCATTCCCTTCGAGACCGTGCAGTGCTGCCGAGAATGGAAATACAGTACCCTCTCATTTCTTATATCGTTTATACCCAGGACTTCTCGAAAATGCCGCAGACCATATTTTGACCGAGTTTGTACACGTTCAAAATAGCAAACTTTGTCCCAACAACTCCACTCACTGTCAACACCCGAACCGTCATACAGGGAACGACGGAAATCCTTCCCCC